GGACTGGATCATTATGTTTCTAGCATGTTTGGCAACAGTTCTTTTAACCCTAACTGAAGGATTGAGTAGCTTTCATTTCTTAAACAACCATATTACAGGATGACAATGTCAAGATTCATAAAGGTTCAGATTGTGGATGAATGGATGGGAGGAGCATGAAGAATCATTTTCACACATGAAACTCACAAACTAGTCCTTAAAGGAGTAGTTCACCTTTAAAACAACTTTTGCTGATAATTTACTCACCCCCATGTCATCCAAGATGTCCACGTCTTTCTTTCTTCAGTCGAAAAAGAAATGAAGGTTTTTGATTAAAACATTCCAGGATTTTTCTCCATATAATGGACTTCAATGGGAACCAAACGGCTCAAGGTCCAAAAGAGAGTTTCAGCGCAAACTGTTCAAAGGGCTTTAAACGACACCAGAGCAAAACGATCGGTCATTTAAAAAATAAATAACACAGTTTAAGTTTTAAAAGCACAAATGCTTGCCTTGCTCTGTTCTTTGATGAGCATTCGTGACTCTTCTGTTCATCAAAATGAACGAATCTTTTTTCGAGTCATGACTAGATAAGATAAGACCCTTATTCACCATCTGGTGTCGTTTAAAGCCCTTTGAAGCTGCACTGAAACTCTCGTTTGGACCTTGAGCCGTTTGGACCCCATTGAAGTCCATTATATGGAGAAAAATCCTGGAATGTTTTCATCAAAAACCTTCATTTCTTTTCCACTGAAGAAAGAAAGACATGGACATCTTGGATGACATGGGGGTGAGTAAATTAAGTGAACTCCATGTCCATGGATGGACATTTATTTCCATCAGGGTCTGCAGAAAACAGGACGTAACAAGGTTACGTCAACAGAAGCTTAGAGGAGAAAACGAGCGCCGACATGAATGGCTTAATCATTGAACAAAAAGGGTGCGCCTGATGGCGTAATGCTAATGTCCTTCCCCTGAATTCCAACTTCAAGAGGTCAAAGGTCATCAGTAAACACAAACAGAGGGACTGGAAACAGTGCAGAAGCGCGTGCTTGCTCTCATTCTTCTGAGGTTAAATTCGGGATAAGAGTTCTGTTACAAAGCCTAGCAAGATGGAGACTCATGACAAGCCATCAACCCGCTTCTAACACAAAAGATAAAGGACTTAGGACTTATCGCTTCATGGATACGCCATCCTAATATGCAATGTGATGAACAAACACAGTTGAGAGAGATGTGATAAAAAGAGACCAGCTGCGTATATACAGTAAAGCGCTTGAATTCACTCACTTATGAGATTCCATTTCTGTTAACATGCTGCCTAATAAGGCACCTAAGGAAGTAGACTTGTTACACACACACACATATATATATATATATATGCCAATACTAACCTATAAAATGTGAAATCTTTTCCCAATTAAAATTAGACAAGCTCCAAGCATTTGCACTTTTAAAAAGCAAGTGAAAACGTACCTTAAGCGTTTGAGCAGGAAGTTTCTTAAGTGGTTACATAAAACGATTTTATTCATTTAATATGGTCTTTAAAATGAATATAATTGTATTAATATAGTCACCAAATGCAGACATTAGGGACATTAGGGATTAGATCTTTACATGCCAGACACAAGCCTTCATATATGTGAAGCACGTTTATCATTATGAATGAGAGCGCCATCTGGAGGATGTTGGGTGCAGCTAACAGAGTAAGGATAAACAATAAACACAAGTGGATGACATTAATAAAGATGAGCCTCTGCAGAGAGACATGGACTTCCTGGACACGGATGGCAGGCTTCCAGCGAGAGGAAATCACATTACGGGTTAGAAAACAGTCCTCACATCCACACACACCACACACACACACACACACACACACACACACACACAGATCCTGCCACTTTCTCCTTTTCAAGCCACTTGATTTTGTGCTCCGGGTTACATGTGATGGTAACTTAATTAGTGTTGATTGGTTGTGGAGATAATAAGGTTTGGACTGTCTGAGCGAGGGTTTGAATAGGTTACAGGGTCATGAAAGACGACATGTATGTTAAAGCTGTCTCTTTAAATCTTGTGTAATGTTAACACTCAGACTACCCCTCTCCCTCCTCCCCCATCAAAAGTGAACACGCACCATACTGCTGATTGGCTTATTCTCTCCTCCCCCATCATGAGTGGACACGCCCCCTACTGCTGATTGGCTTACTCTCTGAACCCCATCATGAGTGGAAACACCTCCTACTGCTGCTTGGCTTATTCTCTCCTCCCATCATGAGTGGACACGCCCCATACTGCTGATTGGCTTACTCTCCCTCCTCCCCATCATGAGTGGACACGCCCCCTACTGCTGATTGGCTTATTCTCTCCTACCATCATGAGTGGACACGCCCCATACTGCTGATTGGCTCACTCTCCCTCCTTCCCCATCATAAGTGGAAACGCCCCCTACTGTTGATTGGCTCACTTTCCGTCCTCCCCATCATAAGTGGAAACGCCCCCTACTGTTGATTGGCTCACTTTCCGTCCTCCCCATCATGAGTGGACACGCCCCATACTGCTGATTGGCTCACTGTCCCTCCTTCCCCATCATAAGTGGAAACGCCCCCTACTGTTGATTGGCTCACTTTCCGTCCTCCCCATCATGAGTGGACACGCCCCCTACTGCTGATTGGCTTAATCTCCCTCCTCCCCATCTTGAGTGGAAACGCCCCCTACTGCTGATTGGCTCACTCTCCGTCCTCCCCATCATGAGTGGACACGCCCCCTACTGCTGATTGGCTCACTCTCCCTCCTCCCCATCTTGAGTGGAAACGCCCCCTACTGCTGATTGGCTCACTCTCCCTCCTCCCCATCTTAAGTGGAAACGCCCCCTACTGCTGATTGGCTCACTCTCCCTCCTCCCCATCATGAGTGGACACGCCCCCTACTGCTGATTGGCTCAGTCTCCCTCCTCCCCATCATGAGTGGACACGCCCCCTACTGCTGATTGGCTCACTCTCCCTCCTCCCCATCACGAGTGAACACGCCCCATACTGCTGATTGGCCAAAACTGTGTTGTGGTGCTCACTACAATCCACTTTCAACAGCGTTTTTTAGAAATCGCTAACTCAACTTTTAATTTTACAACTTTAGTCAGAATATGGGGATTTTAAAAACATGAGTAGAGTAAATATGACACAAGTTTCAGTCCTAGTTGAACTCTTCTATTATTACTCTCTGTGAAAGCAGCCGTACGAGAGACTACACCAGAATTCCCAGACGAGTGGGAGTTTCTTCACAGAGCATGCAGACATCTGGGAACTCTGAACCTTCGTTTCTTTTGACCGCATTGAAAAAGGCAAGATCTTTTCATTGACAGACTTCGTGAAATTAAATGTAAAGAAAAAAAATGCATTTAAAGTGTGAGAACGAGACTAGATCTACATAGCCACTTCCTCAATTAAACCTCACAGAAAAGGATGGCCTTCGTCATCCTCCGACCAGAAGCACTAATGTGAAATGTGATAAAACAGAAGGTCGGACCGAGAAGATACGCAATTACTCAGGTGGAAAGTGACAAACATCACGACTCTTTTCCCCTGAGCTTAGCCTGGGCGGAGGCGTCTGAGCCCATGTCAATGCGGGAAATAGACACACAGTGAATTTCCTTTTCCCTGAAGAATGGAATGTCTTCCGCTGGACGCTGCCGAGGCCGGAAACTCACGCCTGTCCTTCTCCTGGTGGATTGTGTGCTTACGTGCTGCGGTTTGAGGAAATCATAAGATACCTGTTCTGCTGACTCGGTGCTGGAGCTGGTGCCCAATGTGGAAGCATTCGGGATAATGCGTTTACAAAGCAAGTCAATAAACCACATCTCTCCCGTTCAAATCACCAATGCTGTACACTGGCAGCAGCTTCCTGTTTTTGTTGCTTCAGCCCTACTTACTTTTTTCAGTCAGGCTGAAATTAAATGATTTTATTCAGCAAATGTGACGCTCATCATGATAATAATGGTAAATTGAACTGTTTTGAATGTTAAAAGAGTTTTGTAACAGGTTTGTGTGCAGGTTATGTACAGTAACACCCTCGCTCAGCAGTCAAGCCAGCGGAAATGCAGATGATTCTGACACTTCGGGAGAGCAATACAGAGCTTTACAGCGCTCACTTTACTGCTGGCCAAAAACGTATATATATACGTAAAAGTTTGGGGTCAGTAATATGTTTTAATGTTTTTGTTTTATAGTCTCTTCTGCTCACCAAGGCTGCATTAATTTAAGAGAAAAAAATACAGTAAAACAGTAATTGTGAAATATTATTAGAATTTAAAATAATAGTCAAACAAAAAATATATACTTTAGAATGTACATTTATTCCTGTGATCAAAACTATGATCCTTCAGAAATCATTCTAATATGATGATTTGCTGCTCAAGTAACATTTCTGATTATTATCAATGTTGAAAACTTCATGATTTTTGTGATTTTTCATTTAAAATAGAATATTTAAGCAACGATGTAAAAGTCTACGATCACTTATCTATTTATTATGCTTACTGAATAAAAGTAATACTTCTTTAATGATTAATGATAAAAACTAAGCAATTGTTTCACACTAGTCTTATGTTGACGTCAGAAACACCAGCGATTTCACACCGTGTTTTTGAGAGTGTCTGTTTCACTGCAGTTTTAAAGCATATTAAAAACATCATATAGACATATAAAGTACATCCATTAAAAGTGCCTATTGTAAATGGAGCTTTTGTTAAGAAACAAGTTCATCGACATTATGACAGATGCAGACATTTGAGCTCAACTTGTTTTAAACCTGGAACGATAACATGAGCGAGACCGACGGAAGGGGGAGAGAACAGCAGAAGAAGACAGACACACTTTAAATAGATCACTTGTTGCCGACTGCAGGATAAGAGATGTGATGTGATTGGAGGAGAACAGACATGGACTGAGGAGATTGTTAAGGTGATGAACAGGAGATGAAGGAAGTCTTGTGTTTCTGACTGAAGATGTGTGTGTTCGTACACCTACCGTCTTCAATCTCTTGACGGCTTCTTCACAGATGTGCATGCCACGAGACTCATCGACCTCCACGTGCCCCAGATACTAGAGACAGAGAAAAAGTAAGTAAATACATTTTATTTATTTAGCACATTTACACATAGCAGAGCTACTCAAAGTGCTGAACAGAGTAAACAAATAAGAACAGACAATCAAGAGAAAATTAAAATGCCAGGGAATAAAAATAAGTTTTCAATTTATATTTGAAAATAGCATTTAAAGGTCCAGAGGCAACTGGCAATTAGTAGTTTAGCTTTGAAAACTGAAAAGTGAAGCCAAAGCGTCTCAGCTAGTCCCAGTATAGCTCATAACCCCAACGGTGGCTGGTCCCAGTATAGGTCAAACCCCCCCGTGGCTAGTCCCAGTATAGTTCATAAACCCCCAGGTGGCTGGTAGCTTATAGACCCCCTGGTGGCTGGTCCCAGTATAGCTCATAAACCCCCGGTGGCTGGTCCCAGTAAAGATCATAAACACCCCGGTGGCTGGTCCCAGTATAGCTCATAAACCCCCGGTGGCTGATCCCAGTATAGGTCATAAACCCCCTGGTGGCTGGTCCCAGTATAGTTCATAAACCCCCAGGTGGCTGGTAGCTTATAGACCCCCCGGTGGCTGGTCCCAGTATAGCTCATAAACCCCCGGTGGCTGGTCCCAGTAAAGATCATAAACACCCCGGTGGCTGGTCCCAGTATAGCTCATAACCCCAACGGTGGCTGGTCCCAGTATAGGTCAAACCCCCCGTGGCTAGTCCCAGTATAGTTCATAAACCCCCAGGTGGCTGGTAGCTTATAGACCCCCCGGTGGCTGGTCCCAATATAGCTCATAAACCCCCGGTGGCTGGTCCCAGTAAAGATCATAAACACCCGGTGGCTGGTCCCAGTATAGCTCATAAACCCCCCGGTGGCTGATCCCAGTATAGGTCATAAACCCCCTGGTGGCTGGTCCCAGTATAGCTCATAAACCACCCGGTGGCTGGTCCCAGTATAGCTCATAAACCCCCTGGTGGCTGGTCCCAGTATAGGTCATAAACCCCACGGTGGCTGGTCCCAGTATAATTCATAAACCCCCTGGTGGCTAGTCCCAGTTTAATTAATAAAGCCCACGGTGGATGGTAGCTAATAAACCCCCCGGTGGCTGGTCCCAGTATAGCTCATAACCCCAACGGTGGCTGGTCCCAGTATAGGTCAAACCCCCCCCGTGGCTAGTCCCAGTATAGTTCATAAACCCCCAGGTGGCTGGTAGCTTATAGACCCCCCGGTGGCTGGTCCCAGTATAGCTCATAAACCCCCGGTGGCTGGTCCCAGTAAAGATCATAAACACCCCGGTGGCTGGTCCCAGTATAGCTCATAAACCCCCCGGTGGCTGATCCCAGTATAGGTCATAAACCCCCTGGTGGCTGGTCCCAGTATAGCTCATAAACCACCCGGTGGCTGGTCCCAGTATAGCTCATAAACCCCCTGGTGGCTGGTCCCAGTATAGGTCATAATCCCCACGGTGGCTAGTCCCAGTATAATTCATAAACCCCCTGGTGGCTAGTCCCAGTATAATTAATAAACCCCACAGTGGATGGTCCCAGTATAGGTCATAAACCCCCCGGTGGCTGGCTCCAGTATAGGTCATAAACCCCCGGTGGCTGGTCCCAGAATAGGTTATAACCCCCCTGGTGGCTGGTCCCAGTATAGCTCATAAACCCCACCTCCCCATAAGGTCAAATGGGCCGCGATGGAAACTAAACAATTAAATTACACATAAAAATTTTGTTTCTGTCGTTTTAGGTTGTTTTTAATCACACTGATTTAAGTTTAAGTGCTCGGTTTTTTTTTTTAAATAAGTTTGGTCTTGATTGACAGCTGTGATTGACAGCTGTGATTTACAGCTTCTCTTAGGCACTAGGGGTTGAACGACTTCAGATTTTTTGAAGTCGACTGTTATGACATCAAAGTCGAGTCGACGTCGACTAGTCGCTGACGTCATTCATAAAACACAAGAGATGTGACAGATTTGCCACAATTTGCAATTAATTAACAGAAAATTATACAGACGCTGACATGCTCATAATGGGGCCGTTTACACCTGGACACTTCATGCGTTTTTACTGACCTGATTTATCAAAACGATTCCATTTAAACCTGGTCACATAAATATGTTTTCGCAAAATAGATATAAATCCGCGCTATATGCAGATTTAACGGAGTTCACGTCACCGAAAGCAATGCTGCATTTTATTGATCATCAGCTAATTTCACAATCAAAGACCGCAATAAGAGAGACAGCACTGGTAAGAAGATCATTTTGTTTCTTTACTTTTAACGAAGATGATTTTGTGTGTTAAGCGTCTGTGACTTACTTTCACTTTGATTTACGATAGTTTGCACGTTGGCTTTATGAATCGATGCTCAGCTGCGGTGCGTGTTATAGCTTCGTCATATAAAGAATATATTAGCACATGCAGGCTGCTCTCACACGTTTTATTTCAGCATTTTTGGGAGAGGTCCAATTTACATATGCGGTTTCAACAACCAGATGCCTTTACACGAGTCCAGTTTCGTCTGTAAAGCGGCCCAGACCTCCTCATGAAGTGATTTGAGCGATCGGATTTAAATCCGTCTTCAATGCGTTTCGGCGGGCATTTAGCTTACATCTGGTCTTTTCACGATCGGATAGCAATCAGATCACAGACGTGAAGTGGCCAGACGTAGCTAAACAGCCCGCTGTTTACATCATCATTTAGGATGAAAAGGAAAAAAAAGCTATAAATTCACATCTGCACGTTAGTGATGGTAATACAAAATAATATTCCAATTGATTGCGGGTGAATTAGATGCATTAATATGTTTAAATAAATATATGAAAAAAATAGGCAAAATAAGTTTGAATGATTTTAAAAGAGACTGCTCTCATTTCCCGGTAAAACAGTGAGTGTGCGTCATGCTTTTACTTTCGTTTTCAACAATATAGTGGTGTTAGTAAAGTATTCCCATACGCTTTATGTACCAATGCTGCTTTCTTGCTGCAATGACCCTCTAGGCTCTTCTGTTGTCGTCTGCAACGCGGCCATAGACTATCAAAATTAGCGCAATCATATAGTGTCACATGATCAACGCGACTAGTCGACGTCAAGCTTAAAGCGTCACGGCATTGCATTAAGGTCGACTAGTCGACTAATCGACTAGTCGGTTCAACCCCTATTAGGCACCAACAAACTTTTTGGGGGATTTTCAGGAGGAGATTGGAGATTCAACTTTAATTTCTACATGTCCATAACTGTTTATTTCACACAGTAAACTTTGTAGTAACCGTTTCTACGGGAGTGAGGTCGGGACCTTGATATCGCGAGTCGCGACTTGCTTGACAAGTTCACTACTGCGCAGAAGCAGGTCCCAAATCTGCACAAGATGTCAGCGTCATATTAGGACTTTTCTTTTCACCAATGGAAGGGAGTGAACGGGCGTCGTCCATCTTTATTTACACTCTATGGTTCCACCAGGAAGAGGTCACATAGACCTATCTAATCCTGTTTGAACTACGGGAGCGGTGGCCTCTGATACTCAATGAGCGGAAACAGTAGCCCATGACAGACCCCAATGGTAGAAGAGATCCCTGCTTCCCGGGGCGGCTGAGGTCAGGCTGAGGCGGACAGCTATTGTGCTGAGAGGAAGTCCTTCCCCTTCCCTCGTCAAACACACAGGAGCTGCTTGGCTATTGTCAGTGTGTGACATCAGAAACAGCACATGAGGTGTGCACCTGTTTATTAATCCTGTGGAAGCTTGACATGCGGAGAAATACTCAATAATGGAAGAATTTATTGAACATTTAGACAAAATTGCATTTTTTTCTTTAGCTTATTTTGAGGATCATATCGGATACATCAGGCTTTTAGCCAGCAGCCATATCACCCTGTAGCCCAAGACTGTTGCCCACTGAAGCTAAGTAGGGCTGAGCCTGGTTAGTACCTGGATGGGAGACCTTCTGAGAAAACCAGGTTGCTGCTGGAAGAGGTGTTAGTGTGGCCAGTAGGGGGTGCTCACCCTGTGGCCTGTGTGGGTCCTAACGCTAGGGACACTATACTGTCAAAGAGCACCGTACTTTGGATGAGACATTAAACCGAGGCCCTGGCTCACTGTAGTCACAAAAATTCCCAGGATGTCTTTCAAAAGAGTAGGGGTGTAACCCCGGCATCCTGGCCAAATTTGCCCAGTGACCAAAAAATTGTTAAAATTTTAAAATTAACGCCATTAAATAGGGATGTCCCGATACCACTTTTTCACTTCCGATACCGATACCGATGCCGCACCTTTGGCTTTTGCCGATACCGATATTAGTCCGATATTTTTTTTTTCGTGGTCCGACGTGCCGTATACGGCCCACAGGGTGGTTTATAGGTTTAACTTTGTGAAAGACAAAACAAAACAAACACAAAAGTAAACATAATACATATCTTTGGAAAGCTGAGAAACTCGTGATTCGAACGACGTAAACCATTTTAAGATACAATCAACACAGCGGGCACAATCTGTCTCTTTGTCAGACCACCAACAGCCAAAACAAACCAACACAAACTGGAAGAAACTCACCAATTAGCCATCTGTTAGTCCACATTCCAACAAAAATGGTTTGGTTTCACTGTAAAGCGTCCATACAATCCAATTTGAAGAAGTTTTTAGTCCAAAACAATTGTATATGAATAAACATCCATGGAATGTAAATAGTAGCATTTCGCGTTAGCCGACAGCGCTATCACAACTTCGACGCACTAATGCTACGTTCACACCGGACGCGAATAGGGCGTCAGGCGCGAATGATTTCAATGTTAAGTCAATGCAAGAAAAATTCCTGCGGCGCGAATGAGGCGTGGAGCGCGGCGCGGAAGACGCGAATACGCCTCATTCGCGCGTCAAGTTGGCGCGAATTGAGCGTTGTGCATTCACGCGTTTGGCGCGAATTCGCGTCTGCCGCCCGAGTTGAAAAATCTGAACTTTGGCGTGAATTCGCGCCGCGTTAACCAATCAGGAGCCTAGCTGCTTGCTCACGTGGTGAAGTGTCTGGAT